ACAGTGTGTCTCAAAAATAATTGGGAGGCATCTCTCTACAAGAAAAAATGCCTCTTTTTTTGTTTTACAAACTTGATGGATAGTCAAGTTTATACAAACCAGCTTTTATCTGCAGCTCATACTCAGGAGATGTAACTACAAGAAATGGAGGCTGCAACAAGACAATTCTAATCCATACATCCTACAAACTTTTGCAAAAAAATTGGATACATGTAATTGAACTAAACCCCATCAAAAACTTGTGGCAATCATAAAATAAAGTTGAACCAAGAAGGTCTCAAAATACTGAAAAGTTGAAGCAGTTTTTTAACAGATAAATGGGCGTTCCATATTCGCATGTAGTTAATATGATTCGGTCAGGCAAAACATGTTGTGAGCCTGTTTTAACGAATAATGGAAATAGAATTACATATTAGATATGCTGTTTGTTGTGTTGATTTGCACTTTGCGATATCCGCGTTTGTGATTTGCTATGTAACACAAAATTAGGATGAAGTCGTTAGTTAAGGATATGCAAAATAAAAATCTTGCCATTGACAACTTGATCGCAATTGATGATGACCTTGAATGAATTCCTTGCTCGCAGGTTACCGAAATAAAGTCAAGTCAAGTTGACAACATCTACTACGTTATTCGCAAGAAAACGTGTGATTGATGAATGAGTTTGCTCAAGTATACTCGCTCCCAACATGCAAATACAATAATGGGTTAATCAATTCAGAAGATATTCGATATGGCTTAATCGTCGCAACAAACTCTTAAAAGGATTTACCAAGTATAAAGATAACTATTACATGGTTGCAGATAGAAAATTTTACCATTGTTACTTTCTTTACAGATTCTGCTCCGCATGTGAAATACTAATACTCCGATATAGTACATCTGTGACATAACATAAAGAATTATCCAATAGATAGACTAGAAACAACAAGCAATTCGATGAGTTTATTAAGAAATTTCAATTACAAACAAACTCAGCAAATGATGCCTATTGGGATGGATTCCATTTGATTTTATCCATTATAGGAGATTTGGCTTATACTACTTGTACCGTCTACCTATTACTGATTGTCTAACTGTTACATTGACTCTGCTTTACTTGAAATAACAGATGGGACGGATGATTTATATTATGACAAGGTAAATTATTCAATTATTAATTATGCATACTTATTGATTTAATATTTATTCACTAGTTACGTGATGAGCATCCAGATATTCTATTAACGACGTTTTACATACAAACAATTAGCACCAAAGATAAATGCGTTCTGCTATTGGTGTAAAGCACCGAGACCTGTTGATTGGACTACTAACAACAAGTCATTTGATTCATTTATTATGGAGTCGTGGAGTAACATTGAACATGAATATAATGGATAGAGTATTCCCTATTGATAAACGTACGAGAAATGACTTTATTACGCCATGGATGTACACTTATAGCAAATTGGTTAGAAGCGAAAACAAATGAATCGGCACGATTGACGCTCAAACGGATAGGCAATACTCAGTCGCTTGATTTTCATCAGGTAATCATTTTCACGTGTAAAATAATATTAAGTATATATCGTTTTAATAATTGTATTGTTTATTCAAATAGCTAACTCAGAAATACCCGAAAATATTAATATTAACGGCAGACAATGTTTGGATAATTGGGATCATAATCACTCAAGAGCCATCTACTGGGAAATATTATTTAGTTTTCTACTACGACGTATATGCAATATTGAATAGGTTTATATGTCTTAACGGAAATATAAAGTATATGTAGTATAGCACTTGTATGAAATAAAAGAGATCGGACCTGGTGGTTATGGAACAGTTTATACTACCAAATATAAAACAATTCAGAAACTGTTGTACTCAAACGGTTTAAGAATTTTGATAAAATGCTGGACTTGTTTATTTCTGAAGTAAGCAATAATTGGTATTATTAATTAGAGTAATCTTTAATCTGACTCTGTGTTTATTTTTATATATTAGTTCAGAAATCATGCAAGTGCGCAAATAATTTCCTTAAATTCATGGAGTCACACAAGACCCAGAAACAAAGGAGTACATGATTGTTATGCAATATGCTAACAAGGATAGTCTTTTGTCTTATTCGGAAGGGATATTGCATCTTATCTGCTTATTATCCATAGTGCGGATATTCTGTATTGTGATCTTCATGGCGGAAACGTAGTTTGCGTGGCAATAAATCTGACTCTTTTGAATTAAGCGAAACATTCATCCGCGATTTTCGGTCTTTCCCAATCAGTTGAGTCAAATTCAACCATTCGAGACGTGTTACCCACCGAAAGTCTTCCATACTCGCAAATTTACTCAGAAATCAGACATATATTTTTTTGGTATGATTATGTATTTAATAGCCACTGGTGAACCCCCTTTTCGAGATAGGCAATTTGGATAGAGATGTAGTACGCGATATTTTGGGTAAACTACGACCACCGATGCGTTGTTGTGATGCTGATCCTGACGAGCGTCCAGATGCAGTGGCACTTTGTGGAGACATTTACGGCCTTATGGAAAGGTAGACTTCACGGATAGTTCTGATGACAACGTGTGGGATGGGATGCCATTTATCATAATCCTTATCACGTCTTGAGAAGAATAATAAATATTCCAGTAAGCTTTTACCTACTGGATATTTGCTAAACCGAGAACTCAGTTGCAGGTATGAAGACATTCGATTACAATATTAATACCGTCTATTGTTTTATAATTTCAGGGACCCAAGATTTGAATAGTCTGTAATTTACGGTTTATTTATAACTTGCACGAGTTTATTCAAAGATTTATCCCTTCTTCCAATTGAACACGATGTTTATACTTATCGTAGTGTGTCGAGTTGTAACAATTTTAAGTGGGTTTGATTCTGTATACAAGTATTCTTAACGTGACTGCTAAGCAATATTCTTTAAAGCGCAATACAAATCAACAACGTTTCTAATACGCATTCTTATTCAATAAGTCAAACTCACTGGATATTAAGGAAGAATACACTTATACACGTATTTTTCCAAAACCTCCCTGTTGTTAATGTGGGAATTGGGTGTTTCCTGTAAGCGCACTTACGACAATATTAATAAATGTGACAGATTAAAACAATCGGATAAAAATTTTTTTTTACAATATTAGCATTTTTTTTTTCTTTACGAGAAAATTTTTTATACCACGTATCCGTTTCTAAATTTCCACTATACGCACGTAAATTGCAATATCTGGAATGCACGTGACAATAACGGATATCGATAAAATTTTTTTGTACCAACGCGGATGTCCGTTTTCCTTCACAACGGTAATTTTTGGTATTAAATTCGTAACTTTTGGATTATTTGCGTCAAAGCTCTCCTTTCGTGTTAATTTACAATTTGACAATATGGTTGATTATTAACTCCGTAATTATAAACAAAGTTTTTTTCGGTAAATACGACCTTATATCTATAGCAAAGCATCAAAAGTCTGCATTCGTATTCGGATTAATTATCACGATTACATGGTTATCACGGTTATCATCATTCTTAGATACGATGACAATTCATCAATAATAAAAACGTAAACATGTATTTTCTTGACAGCTTTCTTAAAAATCCGATGTTATGTAGATCACGTTGATAAGTACTCATTACCTATTGGATTGGCTATGACCACTCAAATGTACGAGATTATCTAATGATAGCAGAAGAATATTCAAGGAGGTGACTAAATATTATATAAAATGCTAATCAACAATATGTCAGACTGTTGGATGCACGGTCGTCGCCAAGAAATGTTATCTAATCGTGCGATCCAATTATCATTTCAATACAATGCATTGTAACATCAGCTAATCCTAAACCCTGCATAGAATAATGTGTTAAACAAAAGAAGAACAGGACTTAAAAAATCACTGCAAATTAGTGATTAACAAGAATTCCGAACGAGGATAATATGATTGCTGAACAAAGCAAGATGTAGCAATCCATATGAAGACGTTCAATGCCATCACGAGACATGTCTCAATAGATAAAAAAAATCGTGAACCAAAATAATTTATATAACCACTTTGAGGCAAACAAGCAGTTGGGAAAGAGAAAGAAAGTGATTCATGCCGAATATTAGCAATGTGATTGATCGTATGCCCATTAGTTATCGCCAACTGACGTGATTACTATCATCAAATCATCAACGAAGAAGCCAAATCGTTTGCTGCAGATACATTACACCCCCCTGCCAAAGTATCCGCCACCAGTAAAACATGATTTTGTACCGTTTTTTCGGAGAAATAATGATATACACTAATACTTGTATTCAGTCCTGTTATCGTTTAAGGCTGCAGTTCGGGAGTATTTATGTTACACTATGAAAATATGAAAATCATGTATAACATAAATACTGCCACTTTCATCGAACTATTTCATCACAGTTAACTATCAATTGGCTTCAAAACGGGATTGAATTGTAAACTTACGTAGCCCACTACGTTATGGCTCACGTGTGAAAATTTTTTCTGTTCTGTATGTAGCATATGACAACATGACAGCATGGACATGTATGCTATGCCACCCCCACTTCCACCCCCCCACTCCCACCCCCCTATTAATGCGTTCGATATAGTCTGTGCAATGTAAATCAATCCGATCATATCAAGTGTCGTACATTGAAGAGGATTTCTGGGGAATTCGGACCAAAAAGTCGTTTTTTTTTTTTTTTTTTTCAAAGTAGGATCCGAATTCATACAAGTTCATTTTACCCACCCACATGGATTTCGTAAAACCCCGATCAAGGTGTACCATTATTATTATCGTTACTCTGTCAACGGAAAGGCTAGTACTAAAAATGCCTACTCAATGTTACAACAATAAAAAACGCGGGTTACAAAAAGTTTGTTGTTTAACCCATTATCCATCCTATCATTTGCACTCCCCCGAAATCTGAAAAAAAGGTTTCCTTTCCCCATATTGCAAAAGTTGTATTGATATATCGAAGGGGCGGAGAGAAAAAAATCCATAATGGCAACCCAACGACGACACGGTCAAAAAAGTGATACTACTGTAGAGAAGAGCAAGGGAGAGGATGAAAAGATTGTTGCACAGACTGGAAAAACTTGGGGAAGAGATAGAGGTAGGATCCGATGATGTCGTTGACCTTTGATCGCTAGAATGAAGAATGAGTATTTACATCATCTTTTTGCACCTATCCCGTATGTTACCATATCTTACCGACTCATTCCATTAGATGTAACAACTTTTAACGTCATCCTCTCCTCGACAATTCTTTTTACCACTCCTCTTTTCGTCCTGTACTTCTGGCTTGTCTGTACTCACTATGAATGTGCCCTTTCCACACCCATCGTGGCGTTTATAAGAAATGGTCTTACATATGATACATTCGAGGATGTTTTCCTCAATAAATTGCCACAGTTTTCGTGGCATGGGATGCAGATTTTCTATACATGGCTGGTATTTCAAGGGGTGTTGTATGCTGTCTTGCCGGCGAATATTGGGTATGGACAAAGAACACCTGCTGGACATATTTTGCCGTACAAGGTTAGTAAACGTAATAGTAAAAGTAGAATTAGAAGCGAATATTGTTGGCGATGGAGATGATTATCAAATAAGATAGCAGGAAGCAAATTTAACCAATCTTTACTTTAAAGGTAAATGGCCTCTTCGCTTGGTCAATATCCCACATTGTCTACCTTGTCGGCGCCTACTACTTTTCTTTGTGGTCTCCTTCCATAATCCATGATAACTGGGGATCCCTTCTCATTGCTGCCAACATCTACGGATTCTTCCTCACCTTCTTTGTCTACTTTAAAGCTCACTACTTTCCTACCCATCCCGAGGATAGAAAGTATAGTGGCAGTGTATTGTACGATCTCATGATGGGTATCGAGATGAATCCGAGGTTTGGCGAATTGTGGGATTTCAAGCTTTTCCATAACGGACGACCTGGAATCGTTGCATGGACCATGATTAACTTGAGTTTTGCTGCTGCACAGTATCAGGCTATCGGTACGACGATGGGAATGGATAAAAGATGGATGGGGTGATGTGTGAGAGGAAAGATTGGTGTTAGAATATGTGGTTACGGAATGACGATACGAAAAGAATAGTTAGACTCATGTGATACATACGTATATATTTTGGCAATACGATACTAATCTAATTTATGTGACGCCTTTTTTCCTCTTAGGTTATGTAACAAACTCCATGGTGCTACTAAACTTCCTTCACGCAACATACGTCCTCGACTTTTTCTATAATGAAGACTGGTACTTGAGAACAATCGGTAATATACAAAGGCTAGATTTATATTCGTATATTGTTGTGTGTGTTTGTGACCTCGTATTGAAGAGCAAATGTATAACGGTATTTATTCTCGTTAAACTGAAATAGACATTGCTCATGATCATTTCGGATTTTATCTTGCCTGGGGTGATACTGTCTGGCTCCCGTGGATGGTAAGTTTAAAAGTCTCGTGTGCACTTTTTTTTCTTATCATGCTTGTAACAAAAAGCATTGTCTAATTCTATATTCTCAAACGCTTTCATCCATATTTCCAACATAGTACACTCTTCAGTCTCACTATCTAGTCCGTAATCCGGTTGACCTTTCAACGCCCTATTTCTTATTCGTTCTTGCGGTTGGTTTATCTGGATATTATATATTCCGTGCAGTGAACCATCAGAAAGACTATGTGCGCCGTGCAGATGGTAATTGCAAAGTTTGGGGCAAACCAGCAACGTTTATCAGAACAAAATTTGTCACGTCAGATGGAACGGAGCATTCTAGTACATTGATAACTTGTGGATTTTGGGGTGAGTAGGAAAATCCTTGCGGGAGGGAAGTCGGAGAATGGCGAGATGAACGACGTAGTGAGAATCCCAACGAGAGTAGTATTGGGGAGAATTGCTAGCAGCACACAAATTATGCTCCGCGTTATGCTTCATACTGTATTCCATATTACTAACACTCCATCTTTCCATCCACTATTACCTCTTCTCGACGAATCCAAAAGGCCTATCTCGTCACTTCAATTACATAGGCGACCTTCTTATCTCTTTTGCCATGTGTCTCACATGCGGCTTCAAACACCTCCTCCCATACTTTTACATTATTTACATGCTCATTCTCCTCGTACATCGTATAATTCGGGATGACGCTCGATGCAGAGGAAAATATGGAAGGTATTGGGATGAATACACGAGGATTGTAAAATGGAAATTACTTCCGGTAGGTGAAAAAGATGGAATACTATGCATTTCCGGACGGAGAACGGCGAGATGAGGACGTTGGCTAATTTGTCTTTTGGTTTTTCTTTATCTAGTACGTTTATTAACCATTGGAAAGGGAAAGTGGACATAAAGACTTGATGAGCGATAACATTTGGACTAATTTAAGGAGTATAGTAATAAACAATTGAGTATTCGCTGTTTGCACTAATGTCACAGATTGCCTCGCCTGCGTTTATCACTTGCCAATAAAAATGTAAACCAATGTCATAATAGTCAATTGAGGATTTCATAATAACTGACTGTGAATGCAATCTGCCGCAGGAGAGATGCGATTGGTGTCTGATTCTATTATCTATTCCTGCAAAAACTGTGCCAAGTACGGGTATTGGTATAAGCTATCCGGAAAAAAAAATACACTTTATTCATAGTTGAATTATCTATAGTAAGCGTTTACTATGTTAATTCATCGTTGCACGAGTTGTAAGTAACATGTTTGCGCGATTTTTTGTTTTTATCAATATCGAAAGTTTTCGTGTGTGTGGTTGATGTACCCGATCCAGGTTCTGGGGGGGGGGGCGGGTAAGCTTAATGCCGCACAATATCTATATTTACTCAACTTAATCTTGTCTGACGAAAATTACCTGTTTTTATTTGTTGGGGTGGGAGCCAAATACTATGTGTCATCCGAAACCTATTCCTGGTTTAACCATTTCCTTATCGAAACTATACTTTTAGTCATCAGGTATGTGGACCAAGCAACCAATAAGTTTGGACAAGACCCAAGAGAAACGGAAAAAAAAAAGAGATGAGGATAAATAAAGATGCACTGATTGGTCTATCGGAGATTTCGGAATGTTGTAATACATCTAAATAAAAGTGATAGGCCTAATGCGTCTATATTTCATGGGTACTGTGATTCGTTGGATATTATTATGTATCATAACCATGTGTATTTACTAAATGAGAGTAGTCTTGCGATAAATGGCATGGTTTTTACATTCAGTTATGAGTTGTAAATGTTGTTAGTTATACTATATATGTAGCCCTCTCTCGTATTCAATTTTTTGTTTTTTTTTAAACAAAGGATACCCATTGATGCGTCCCTTTGTTTATACTAATACATAATAATAACGGGAATTTCCGTAAAATAGTGTTTAGAATGACGCAATAAATTTAAAAGGATTGGCCGATTGGATGCAGGGTAGGTTAAGGAACAGTTGTGTTACATTCATATCGTTTCTCGGACGATATCCAGCTATCCACGATCGGCCCGGTAATTATGTCTGGAGTAATGCAAAAATGAACCTTTGACGATATACAAGACTGTTAAAAACCAGTTACAACCAGGATACTGTATCTTGACATGTATTATGTAGCCCATTCTCTATACATACTTTTCATTGCTTTCATCATTCGATAGCTTGAATTTGCGTTGCTGATGTAAAAAAAATCAAAGAATTTGAACTTTAATAATCCTGGATGTAGGTTCATTGGGAGTGTTGGTGACACCGTCTGCATCTACTTATTAAATAATATATATCCGGAGCGCCAGATGAATAGATAACGAATAAGTGGTCCGTATTGTATATGATCCGTTTACATATATGGGATTTAGTTTTTTTTTTGCTGCTTGATAATTAATTGATTGGATGAGCATATATTGAATATTTTGCACACAAAATGTAGGGCTTGATCAATTTTCTCAACTTTGTGTGACCGAGTCGTGGGAAATAAAAAAAAGACTATCCAATAAAGCATAAGAAACAGGAACGTTAGATAGGTGCGATAGGTACAATATATGCTATATTACGTTTACATCCCAAAAGTGTATTCATTGTTCGGTCATTGTCCATTCGACCATTTTAGTCAGCTCATTCGGCAAACCCTATTGTAAAAAAATTATGCAGAGCAAAGGAATTTATTTTTATCATTCGAATAAGATTTAAACGCCATGCTAAATTTTATATCCCTAACACTTTGGTCGAAATAAACGTAAAAGGCAAAGAAATATATATATACAAATTTGTTCATGCTTTCTGATAACATGGGTCCGATAGCAAGACGGCGGCACAGGAACCAATGCTTGACAGTGTTTATATCCATTCGAATAGAATATGCTAGATAATGCATGAAATACGAGAACAATAGTCCCATTCACACTTTAGAGTGTACCTTGGATCTTTCTACCCATGCTTTCGAGACCATCATCCAATCACAACTCTCATTTTTGCCGAACAGATTAACTAAGTTGCTTACACACACTATCACAAAAACACTAGGATGCAGGACATTGTACAACTACGAATCAAACTTTTACAATGGAATTAGGTAATGTGCATTCGAACCGGAGGAGAGAGAAAGAGAGAGAGAGATCAGGGATTGTTGCTAAAACCACTCGTGGGCTACTTGCGTTCTGGTCTTTGCAAAATCGGAATGTTCTGCGGCGCTAACCCAAAAGTAAAATATAACATTACACAATTGGTAAATTGACAAACGTTGTGTTTATAAACAAGTGCCATTTAATTTCTTTATTTATACGTTGTCATTACAGTTTCTATTAATCAATGTACATGATTTACTCTACGGCCTGTATATTTACCCTGTATATTTATACATGATCAGCAATACAACCATATATAATACACACATTTACACACACATATATATATTAAATATTTATTGCACGGATCAACACTCTCTTACCAATTGTTTCTATCTCATCTTTATGAATACACACATAATTGTTCTACACATTTCAGCTTTCCTATTGTTTTCATTTATATAAGCTTACAATCATGCCCCGTCGCAACACTTTTAATGTTCTCAAGGGTAAACTCCAGGGTGTATTCCATTCTCATTCATCGTCAATAAGCGAAAAAGAGCTGAAAGAATTTAAGGAAATATACAATAAGAAGGTCAACGAAACCAATAAAGATAACAAGGAAACAAGCGAGAGTGCCGACACAAGCACAATCGAAGGCTTAATCAATACAAGAGCCATTACCGATACTGTTACTGAGACTTTGCCCCCCGAATCTGTATCATCACCGGCACAACTAATGTCAAGAGTAAAAAGTGCTACAACGTTAAAGATGGAAACAAATTCATCCTGGAAGAAGCATTCAAGATCCGTTTCGTTTACTTCGCTGTCTATTTCTGCTAGTAATGCTGCGCTAATGGATAAAGACAAGGTATGATTTAATATAGAAAATAAATTAAATTAAAATGAAAAATTCTAATTGAATCCTTATTCGATTAATTCAATCCATACTCTTTCTTATTGTTTAACTTTTCGCTCTATTTAAGATTCTTCTCGAACCTTATAATTATCTGCTTGCAAATCCCGGTAAAGAAATTCGAACAAAACTTATCGAAGCTTTCGACTACTGGTTGCAATTACCAAAAGAGCAAATGATGATTATTACTAAAGTCGTAACCATGTTGCATACGGCTAGTCTTTTGTGAGTAAACGGAAAGAAGAGTGACAGAGAGAGCGGGTGTGTGAAAGAGTATAAAAGTATTAAGAAGTGGAGGGGTTTTAGAAAAAAATTTTTTGTAATAAAAAAAAAGTTCTTACGTATATTCACGTGATTTAGAATTGATGACGTAGAAGACTTCTCCGAGTTAAGACGAGGTGTTCCAGGTATGTGGAGGAAGCAATAAGCCGAGCAGAACGTTGTGCTGATAATCATCGACACATAATGTCATGATTCAAATTCTATTGACTACATCCAATCTTGCACGTTCTTTTTACCAATCCAGCCGCACATCAAATCTATGGCACACCTGCAACTATCAACTGCGCGAATTACGTGTATTTCCTTGCACTTGACGAACTTGCAAGACTCGACAACCCGCGAGTGTATCAGATTTTTACCGACGAACTACTCTCTCTCCACCGCGGACAAGGCATGGAGTTGTATTGGAGAGATACGCTGACCTGTCCGTCAGAAGAGGAATTTATTGAAATGGTATCCAATAAGACGGGAGGTTTGTTAAGATTGGCGATCAAATTGATGCAAGAGGCGTCTGAATCAGATGTGTAAGTAAAAAAAAGGAAAAGATAAATGGGTTAAGAATATTGAGAAAGGAAATCAGTGTCGTTACCCGATAAAGAAATTTAACTGTCAAATAGCAATACTAACGCTTTCTATTTATTCGATCAGAGATTATGTTGACTTGGTGAACATTATCGGTATCCATTTTCAAATTCGTGATGATTATATGAACCTTCAATCTCAAAAATACATCGACAACAAAGGATTTTGCGAAGATCTAACGGAAGGAAAATTCTCATTTCCCATCATGCACTCTATTCAAAGCAATCCTTCTAGTCGCCAGCTTATTCGTAAGTATATAAAGGAAAATGAGGTGCTAATTTGTTAAACTAATTAATTATCAGCCTCTTGCAATATATTATTTTTAACATCTTACTTACCATAATTGCGCATTCCGACAATATATATTCTAACATAAATTTACTTTACCTTTTCAAGACATTCTCAAACAACACACAACTTCAATCGAACTCAAACATTACGCCGTAAAGCTAATGCAGAATACAGATTCCTTCGCATATACGAGAAAGTATCTAGCGAAAACCGAAGCCAGCGCTAGAACAGAAATTGCCAGGTTAGGTGGAAACCCAATGTTGGAAGAAATTATGGATTTATTGAGCGTTCCCGAGGATAGTAATGTCAAAGTATCTTGAGGTTTAATGAGAGAATTTATTTGTGAATTAAAACATGCATGTAATAAATGGCAAGGGACGAGTAAAATTTGTAATGAAAGTTTTAAACTAGATTTACGTAGATTAGGAATAGTAATTTATTCTTCTGTTGTATATTGTAATTATAAAAAGCTTCGTATAAAGTATTTGTTTCTTGTTAGCTTGGGTGTCAATTTATAATCTTATTTGTACCAACAATTGACTGGAGATAATTTACATAATATCGGTACATGATATGCGATCGGTCAAAACAAAAAGTGTCAAATCAGTTATTTTACACACAAAATAATATGTAATATGCCTTTTATCTATGTTAAGCTGTAGGATAATTTTAAATTAAAAAAATGCTGACCTTTTTACTATTGGTATTAGGGGTAATCATAAGTCACATGTTTTGTTATTAAACACGAGTGTTTGTTTTTATTTTCACAATGTTTTTGTTCTTGTCCATTTCATCAACGTTGACAGTACATTCGCCAACAATACATTTAAGCTTTAATATTGTTGAAAATAGTGCGGGATTTATGAAGTTGGTATATGATACCAGTAACATCTTTTTTGACAATTTTTAGTCGCTAGAAATACGCGATCGAGTTCTTTCTCATGTGGCCATACTCGATATAATTATTGTACAAAAAGAAAGCGAATACTACTTATTGTTCTGTACGACTGACTAGCAAACTTTTCCATCCGTGTTTTCAAAATTTTCTCGTGCTTGACATCAAGTAAAGAGTTAATACTTTAACTGCTGAACTAGAAAGTTTGACAGGAGGCCAAGCAAAATGTTAATAACTCTAAACTAATGTAGACAGTCGCTTAACATGTCGAGTTACAAGTTCATATAATGTTACGCAAAATTAATTAATCTCGTCATGAATTTTCTCTTTGATAACAATATGGTAACAACAATTATAAAGATAAATAAATTTTTGCATCTTGTTAAGCTCTATCAGATTGTGAACAAAACCTTTAATTAAAAAGCCTTGTTTGTTCAAAGTTGTGTGCTTTTTATCTTTGTAAACCTTCACCAGAGAATGAACGAAATAAATCTGCAAGTGAAATAAAAGATTCGAATGATACTGAAATTGATCGTAAGATTAGCTGAAGATAGTGTTTGCCAACGAAACTAGAACTTCTTATATAACTACTTATTGTTCACTAAACTGCTCCGCTGGCGTAAATTTTAATAAAAACGGGAAATAGATCAATAATCGAATGGCAAGATGTACCACTGATCGTATACTAAGTACGGAGAAATACGTCATTAATAATACAAGATCCTGGCAGTTTCACTATCTATTTTATTTCTATCATCTATAGATACGCTTTTCTTCATTCGTTTGAGACGTACCCTAGTAAAAGCGCTTAAGGAAAATAAAATTCTATATTAATAAGGGGTCCGAAATGGCTTGTGCAGTGTAAATTAAGTTTTGAACATTGCAAATATTAATAATTGAGTCAAATGCATATCAAGTAAATAGCAAATAGTAAGCAGTGAATATAATTTATATAATATATATTACCCTCGAAAAAGTTTTTTTTTTCTTCTTACAAGTAGCCTTGTTTTTATGGATTAAAAAAAGTATTTTATTTCAAAATTTTAACATTTAATACTCTGTGGGCCATTGATTCCTAATGTATGCTTCAATTCTATTAACATTAGGTGGATTTCTTCTAGCAGTACATTTTCAAGTTTATAAAGATTTGATGTCAGGCAAATTAAATGTACATGTAACAGTGCTTTTTGAAACTTTTAGAATATGAGCTATAACTTTGTTAATATGGGGCTTTCCTGCCAATTTGTAAACCAATAATTCAAACTCATTTAATTCATGATCTTTTCCCATGTTGAATGCAATAAAATTGTTTACATTTCCGTGTTAAGTTATGTTTATGCTTTTGTTTATCAAAATTTATCAATATATCATAGCACAGATGTGAACGCGATGGGCTAACACCGAGGGTTCATGCTCGGCATCGCTTCATTATGGGCAATGTGTAGTTAACGATT